CCCCCCCCCCCCCCCCCCCCCCCCCCCCCCCCCCCCCCCCCCCCCCCCCCCCCCCCCCCCCCCCCCCCCCCCCCCCCCCCCCCCCCCCCCCCCCCCCCCCCCCCCCCCCCCCCCCCCCCCCCCCCCCCCCCCCCCCCCCCCCCCCCCCCCCCCCCCCCCCCCCCCCCCCCCCCCCCCCCCCCCCCCCCCCCCCCCCCCCCCCCCCCCCCCCCCCCCCCCCCCCCCCCCCCCCCCCCCCCCCCCCCCCCCCCCCCCCCCCCCCCCCCCCCCCCCCCCCCCCCCCCCCCCACCCCCCCCCCCCCCCCCCCCCCCCCCCCCCCCCCCCCCCCCCCCCCCCCCCCCCCCCCCCCCCCCCCCCCCCCCCCCCCCCCCCCCCCCCCCCCCCCCCCCCCCCCCCCCCCCCCCCCCCCCCCCCCCCCCCCCCCCCCCCCCCCCCCCCCCCCCCCCCCCCCCCCCCCCCCCCCCCCCCCCCCCCCCCCCCCCCCCCCCCCCCCCCCCCCCCCCCACCCCCCCCCCCCCCCCCCCCCCCCCCCCCCCCCCCCCCCCCCCCCCCCCCCCCCCCCCCCCCCCCCCCCCCCCCCCCCCCCCCCCCCCCCCCCCCCCCCCCCCCCCCCCCCCCCCCCCCCCCCCCCCCCCCCCCCCCCCCCCCCCCCCCCCCCCCCCCCCCCCCCCCCCCCCCCCCCCCCCCCCCCCCCCCCCCCCCCCCCCCCCCCCCCCCCCCCCCCCCCCCCCCCCCCCCCCCCCCCCCCCCCCCCCCCCCCCCCCCCCCCCCCCCCCCCCCCCCCCCCCCCCCCCCCCCCCCCCCCCCCCCCCCCCCCCCCCCCCCCCCCCCCCCCCCCCCCCCCCCCCCCCCCCCCCCCCCCCCCCCCCCCCCCCCCCCCCCCCCCCCCCCCCCCCCCCCCCCCCCCCCCCCCCCCCCCCCCCCCCCCCCCCCCCCCCCCCCCCCCCCCCCCCCCCCCCCCCCCCCCCCCCCCCCCCCCCCCCCCCCCCCCCCCCCCCCCCCCCCCCCCCCCCCCCCCCCCCCCCCCCCCCCCCCCCCCCCCCCCCCCCCCCCCCCCCCCCCCCCCCCCCCCCCCCCCCCCCCCCCCCCCCCCCCCCCCCCCCCCCCCCCCCCCCCCCCCCCCCCCCCCCCCCCCCCCCCCCCCCCCCCCCCCCCCCCCCCCCCCCCCCCCCCCCCCCCCCCCCCCCCCCCCCCCCCCCCCCCCCCCCCCCCCCCCCCCCCCCCCCCCCCCCCCCCCCCCCCCCCCCCCCCCCCCCCCCCCCCCCCCCCCCCCCCCCCCCCCCCCCCCCCCCCCCCCCCCCCCCCCCCCCCCCCCCCCCCCCCCCCCCCCCCCCCCCCCCCCCCCCCCCCCCCCCCCCCCCCCCCCCCCCCCCCCCCCCCCCCCCCCCCCCCCCCCCCCCCCCCCCCCCCCCCCCCCCCCCCCCCCCCCCCCCCCCCCCCCCCCCCCCCCCCCCCCCCCCCCCCCCCCCCCCCCCCCCCCCCCCCCCCCCCCCCCCCCCCCCCCCCCCCCCCCCCCTCCCTCCCTCCTCCTCCCTCCCCCTCCTCCCTTCTCCCCCTCCCTCCTCCCCTCCCTCCCCCCCTCCTCCCCTCCTCTCTCCTCTCCCCCTCTCCTCCCCTCCCTCCTCCTCCCTCTCCCCCCTCTCCTCTCCCCTCCTCCCCCCTCCCACCTCCCCTCCCCCTCTCCCTCCCCTCCTCCCCCTCCTTCCTCCCTCCCCTCCCCCTCCCTCCCTCCCCCTTCTCCCCTCTCCCTCCCTCCCTCCTCCCTCCCCTCCTCCTCCCCTCCCCTCTCTCCCTCCTCCCCCTCTCCTCTCCCCCCTCTCCCTCTCCCTCCTCCCCCTCTCTCTCCCTCCCTCCTCTCTCCCCTCCCCTCTCCTCCCTCTCCCCTCCCTCCTCTCTCCCTCCTCCCCCCCTCCCCCCTCTCCTCCTCCCCTCCTCCCTCCTCCCCCTCTCCCTCTCCTCCCCCTCTCCTCCCTCTCCTCTCCCCTCCTCCCCCTCCCCTCCCTCCTCCCTCTCCCTCCTCCCCTCCTCCCTCTCCCCCTCCTCCTCCCCCTCCTCCCTCCCTCTCCCCCCTCTCCTCTCCTCCCCTCCCTCCCCCTCCCCTCCCTCTCCCCCTCCCTCTCCCCTCCCCTCCCCCCCTCCCTCCCCCCTCCCTCTCTCCTCCTCCCCTCCCCTCCCCCCTCCCCCCCTCTCCTCCCCCCCTCCCTCCTCCCCTCCCTCCCTCCCTCCCTCCTCTCCCCTCCCCTCTCCCCTCCCCCCTCCTCCCCTCCCCTCCCTCCTCTCCCCCTCCCTCCCCCCTCTCCCTCTCCCCCCCCTCCCCCCCTCCTCCTCTCCCTCCCTCCTCCCCCCCCTCCCCCTCCTCCTCCCCTCCTCCCCTCCCCCTCCTCCTCCCCTCCCCTCCTCCCCCTCCCCCTCCCTCTCTCCCCCTCCCCCTCCCCCTCCCCCCCTCCTCCCTCTCCCCCTCCTCTCCCCCCCCCCTCCCCTCCCCTCTCCCCTCCCCTCCCCCCCCTCTCCCTCCTCCTCCCCCCTCCCCCTCCTCCCCCCCCCTCTCCCCCTCTCCTCCCTCCCCCCTCCCCCCCCCTCCCCCTCCCCCCCTCTCCCTCCCCCTCCCTCCCCTCCCTCCTCCCCTCCCCTCCCCCCTCTCCCTCCCCCCTCTCCCCTCCCTCCCCTCCCCTCCCTCCTCCCCCCCCTCCCCTCCCCCTCCCTCTCCCCCTCCTCCTCCCTCCCCTCCCCCTCCTCTCCCTCCCCTCCCTCCCCTCCCTCCCCCCCCTCCCCTCCCCCCTCCCCTCCCCTCCCCTCCTCCTCCCCCTCCCCCTCCCCCCTCCCCTCCCCTCTCTCCCCCCCCCCTCCCTCCCCCTCCCCCCCTCCCTCTCCCCTCCCCTCCCCCCCCTCCCTCCCCTCCCCCCTCCCCCCCTCCCCCCTCCCCTCCCCTCCCCCCTCCTCCCCCTCCCCCCCCCTCCTCCCCTCCCCTCCCCCCCCCTCCTCCCTCTCCTCCCCCCTCCCTCCTCCCCTCTCCTCCCCCCTCCCCTCCCCCTCCCCTCCCTCCTCCCCTCCTCCCCCCTCCCTCCCCCCCTCCCCCCTCCTCCCTCCCCCTCCCCCTCCCCCCCTCTCCCCCCCCTCCCCCCCTCCCCCTCCCTCCTCCACCCTCCCCCCTCCCCCCTCCCTCCTCCCCCCCCCTCCCTCCCCTCCCCCTCCCTCTCCTCCCCCTCCTCCCCCCCTCCTCCCTCCCTCCCCTCCCCCCCCTCTCCCCCCTCCCCCTCCCCTCCCCCTCTCCCCCCCCTCCCCCCCCTCCCCTCCCTCCCCCCTCCCCCCTCCCCCCCCTCCCCCTCCCCTCCTCCCCCTCCCCTCCCTCCCTCCCCCCCTCCCCCCCCTCCTCCCCCCTCCCCTCCCTCCTCCTCCTCCCTCCCCCCTCTCCCCTCCCTCCCCTCCCCCCTCCCCCCCCCTCCTCCCCCTCCCTCCCCCCCCCTCTCCTCCCCCCCTCCCCCTCCCCTCCTCCTCTCCCCTCCCCCCCCTCCCCCCCTCCTCCCCCTCCCTCCTCCCCCCTCCTCCCCCCTCCCCCTCCCTCCCTCCCCCCTCTCCCCTCCCCCCCTCCCCTCCCTCCTCCCCCCCCCCTCCCTCTCCCCCCCTCCTCCCCTCTCCTCCCCCTCCCCTCCCCTCCCCTCCTCTCCCCCTCCCCTCCCCCTCCCTCCTCCCCCCCTCCCTCCCCCCCTCCTCCCCCTCCTCCCCCTCCCCCTCTCCCCCCCCCCTCCTCCCCCCCTCCCTCCCCTCCCTCCCTCCTCCCCCCCCCTCCTCCCTCCCCCTCCCCCCTCCCCTCCCCCCCCTCCCTCCCCCCCTCCCCCTCCCCCCCCTCTCCCCCCTCCCCCCTCCCCCTCCCCCTCCTCCTCCCTCCCCCCCCCCCCTCCCCTCCCCCCCTCCTCCCCCTCCCCCTCTCCCCCTCCCTCCCCCCTCCCCCCCTCCCCTCCCCTCTCCCCTCCCTCTCCCCCTCCCCCCCCCCCTCCCTCTCCCCCCTCTCCCCCCCCCCTCCCCCCCTCCCCCTCCCCCTCCTCCCCCCTCTCCCTCCCCTCCCTCCCCCCTCCTCCCCTCCCCCTCCCCCCCTCCCCCCCCTCCCCTCTCCCCCCCCTCCTCCCCCCCCTCCTCCCCTCCCCCTCCCCCCTCCTCCTCCCCCCTCCCCCCTCCCTCCCCCCCTCCCCCTCCCTCCCCCCCCCCCCTCTCCTCCCCCCCTCCCCCTCCCCCCTCCCCCCCTCCCCCTCCTCCTCCCCTCCCTCCTCCCCCCCCTCCCCCCTCTCCCCTCCCCTCCCTCTCCCCCCTCCCCCCCCCTCCTCCTCCCCCCTCCCTCCCCCCTCCCTCCCACCCTCCCCCCCTCCCTCCCCCCCCTCCCCTCCCCCCCTCCCCTCCCCCCCCTCCCCTCCCCCTCCCCCCCCTCCCTCCCCCCTCCTCCCCTCCCCCTCCCCCTCCCTCCCCCCCCCCCTCCCCCCCCCCCCCCCCTCCTCCCCCCCCTCCCCCCCTCCCTCCCCCTCCCCCTCCCCTCCTCCCCCCCTCCTCCCCCTCCCCTCCCCCCCTCCCTCCCCCCTCTCCCCCCTCCCCCTCCCCTCCCCCCCTCCCCCCCCTCTCCCCCCCTCCCCTCCCCCCTCCCTCCCCTCCCCTCCCCCCTCTCCCCCCTCCCCCCCCCTCCCCCCCCTCCCCCCTCCCTCCCCTCTCCCCCCTCCTCTCCCCCCTCCCCCCTCCCCCTCCCTCCCCCTCCCCCTCCCCCCCTCCCTCCCCCCTCCTCCCCCCCCCCCCCCTCCCCCTCCCCCCTCCCTCCCCCTCCCCTCCCCCCCTCCTCCCCCCCTCTCCCTCCTCCCCTCCCCCCCTCCTCCCCTCTCCCCTCCTCCCCCCCCTCCTCCTCCCCCCCCCTCCCCCCCTCCCTCCTCCCTCCCCTCCCCCCTCCTCCCCCCTCCCCCCTCCCCCTCCCTCTCCTCCCCCCTCCTCCCCCTCCCTCCCCTCTCCCCTCCCCCTCCTCCCTCCCCCCTCCCCCCCTCCCCTCCCCCTCCCCCCCCTCCCCCTCCCCTCCCCTCCCTCCCCTCTCCCCCCCCCTACCCCCCTCCTTCCCCCCCCCCCCCCCTCACCCCCCCCTCCCCCTCCCCCCCTCCCCCTCCCTCTCCCCTCCCCCCCCTCCCCCTCCCCCCCCCTCCCCCCTCCTCCCCCCCCCTTCCCCTCCCCTCCCCCCTCTCCCCCCCCTCCCCCTTCCCCCCTCCCCCTCCCCCTCCCTCTCCCCCCCCCTCCCCCCCCCCCTCCCCCCCCCCCTCCTCCCCCCCCCCCCCCCTCCTCCCCCTCCCCCCTCCCCCTCTCCCCTCTCCCCCCTCCCCCCCCTCCCCCCCCTCCCCCCCCCCCCCCCCCCTCCCTCCCCCCCTCCCCCCCCCCCCCCCCCTCCCCCTCCCCCCTCCCTCCCCTCCCTCCCCCCCCTCCCCCCTCCTCCCTAGGAGGAGCCCCAGGACACAGAGGGAGAAGACCAGGAGGAGACCCAGGACACAGAGGGAGGAGACCAGGAGGAGACCCAGGGACCCAGAGGGAGGAGACCAGGAGGAGACCCAGGACACAGAGGGAGGAGACCAGGAGGAGACCCAGGACACAGAGGGAGGAGACCAGGAGGAGACCCAGGACACAGAGGGAGGAGACCAGGAGGAGACCCAGGACACAGAGGGAGGAGACCAGGAGGAGCCCCAGGACACAGAGGGACTATATCTATGTATCCTGGGAACACCTCAGGATTCCCCCAGATGAGCTGGAGGAGGTGTCTGTGGAGGGGGAAGTCTGTGCTGAGACTGCTGCCTCCACGACCCGGCAACGGATGAAGCGGAAGAAAATGGATGGACTTTACTTTTACTGCTATTATCATTAATGCTCATTTCTTTCCTCTGATGACTCTGATGATCCACTGTCACTTCACCTAATAATAATAATAATAATAATAATAATAATAATAATAATAATAAGTACAAACCAATCTGTAAACTCATCATGAAAAGGGATGATGATAAAGTTTATTATCTTATTCTTTTATTATCTATTTTCTTAAACAATAAATCCTGTTCAATCCTGTTTGATGCAAAACCAGAGTGTTATGTTTTCTCCTTTAATTCTGGGTCAAATAAACCTGTACCTCAGTCTGTTTCTGCTGCAGCCGCACACAGGGCTTTGTTAACGATTACAAAATGGCAAATCCAAAATGAGTCTAATGTGTGTAAAACTAAAACTAGACCAGTGAGATCCAGGTCTGAGTGGATTTACAGTGTCATAAAGAACAGTCGAAACACTGAGCTGCACTCGGTGTAAAAACCTGTCCATAAAGCGGAGGATGTTTCTTACGAGGCTTGTAAAGATGAGTGCTGCCTGAGTCCAAACGGCCGTAAACCTGAGCCCAAACGCCTGTGATCTGAGCCCAAACGCCTGTGATCTGAGCCCAAACGCCTGTGATCGAGTCCAAACGCCTGTAATCTGAGTCCAAACGCCTGTAATCTGAGCCCAAACGCCTGTAATATGAGCCCAAACGCCTGTAATCTGAGTCCAAACGCCTGTAATCTGAGCCCAAACGCCTGTAATATGAGTCCAAACGCCTGGGATCTAAGCCCAAACGCCTAGGATCTGAGTCCAAACGCCTGTAATCTGAGTCCAAACGCCTGTAATCTGAGCTCAAACGCCTGTAATCTGAGCCCAAACGCCTGTAATCTGAGCCCAAACACCGGTAATCTGAGTCCAAACGCCTAGGATCTGAGTCCAAACGCCTGTAATCTGAGCCCAAATACCTGTAATCTGAGTCCAAACGCCTGTAATCTGAGTCCAAATGCCTGTAATCTGAGCCCAAACACCTGTAATCTGAGTCCAAATGCCTGTAATCTGAGCCCAAACTGTAGATCCAGGACTGAAGATGTAGACCCAGGAATGAGGCTGTAGACCCCGGACTGAGACTGTAGACCCAGGACTGAGGCTGTAGATCCAGGACTGAGGCTGTAGATCCAGGACTGAGGCTGTAGACCCAGGATTGAGGCTGTAGACCCAGGACTGATATTTATTTCAAAATCTATATTACTACATTTTCTGTGTATTATTTTTATCTTAAATTTAAAGAAATGATGAGAGTTTAAAAAGATCCAAACCAGCTGCATTTGACCCGGGACCACAGTGTGAATGTTAGGCCTGTTGTTTGAGCCTGTGTCGACTCACATATAAATATAAATAAATCTATATTGAATCTACATGAAAACACACTCTGCCCTTTGTGCCTCATCAGCAGGTTTCACTGGGGCCGCAGATCAAGTCAGCAATCAACAGATATTTTCTCCTATTGTGCAGAAAATCTTGTGTCTTGAGTGATGTTTTTATTGTAGAATTTGTGGAAGACATTTCTCGCTTGTTAGAGATTATAGACTCTAAATATAGACATTCAGGAGAGTTCTGCTTTCATGGACTTTTGGGAAAAATACAAAATAAAATAATGATAATAATTTATTTATTATTTATTATTATATAATTTATAAAAAAGATTACAGATATTTTATACATAAATAATAATACCGTCCGTCCGTCCGTTTTCTTCCGCTTCATCCGTTGCCGGGTCGCGGGGGCAGCAGTCTAAGCAGAGACGCCCAGACTTCCCTATCCACACACACTTCCTCCAGCTCGTCCGGGGGGACCCCAAGGCGTTCCCAGGCCAGCTGAGAGACATAGTCCCTCCAGCGTGTCCTGGGTCTTCCGCGGGGCCTCCTCCCGGTGGGACGTGCCCGGAACACCTCCCCAGGGAGGCGTCCAGGAGGCATCCGGAACAGATGCCCGAGCCACCTCAACTGGTTCCTCTCGACGTGGAGAAGCAGCGGCTCTACTCCGAGCTCCTCCCGTGTGACCGAGCTCCTCACCCTATCTCTAAGGGAGCGCCCAGCCACTCTGCGGAGGAAGCTCATTTCGACCGCTTGTATCCGCGATCTCGTTCTTTCGGTCATTACCCACAGCTCATGACCATAGGTGAGGGAGCTCTGACTGCAGACGCTGCTCCCTCATGACCATAGGTGAGGGAGGGAACGAAGATTGACCGGTAAATCGAGAGCTTTGCCTTTCGGCTCAGCTCCCTCTTTACCACAACGGTCCGATACAGCGACCGCATCACTGCGCACGCTGCACCGATCCGCCTGTCAATCTCACGCTCCATTCTTCCCTCACTCGTGAACAAGACCCCGAGATACTTGAACTCCTCCACTTGAGGAAGGACCTCTCCACCCACCTGAAGAGGGCAAGGCACCTTTTTCCGGTTGAGCACCATGGCCTCGGATTTGGAGGTGCTGATTCTCATCCCAGCCGCTTCACACTCGGCTGCAAACCGTCCCAGTGCATGCTGCAGGTCCTGGTTCGTTGGAGCCAACAGGACAACATCGTCCGCAAACAGCAGAGATGAAATCCTGTGGTCCCCGAACCGGACCCCCTCCGGCCCCTGGCTGCGCCTAGAAATTCTGTCCATGAATACAGTGAACAGAACCGGTGACAAAGGGCAGCCCTGGCGGAGGCCGACATGCACCGGGAACAGGTCTGACTTACTGCCGGCAATGCGAACACAGCTCTGGCCGCAGCACGCTTGGCCTGCCGGTACTGGACAGCTGCCTCAGGAGTCCCCCGAACCATCATGGCTCGATAGGATCCTTCTTCAGCCTGACGGCATCCCTTACTACCGGTGTCCACCACCGGGTTTGGGGGTTGCCGCCGGGACCAGCACCAGAGAACTTGCAACCACAGCTACGAGCCGCCGCATCGGCAATAGAGGCAGAGAACATGGTCCACTTGGACTCAATGACCCTCTCCTCCGCCGGGACCTGGGAGAAGCTCTCCCGGAGGTGTGAGTTGAAAATCCGTCTGACAGGGGGCTCAGCGAGATGTTCCCAGCAGACCCTCACGCTTGGGTCTGCCAGGTCTGACCGGCTTCCTCCCCTGCCAGCGGATCCAACTCACATAAATATAAATAAATAAATAAATAAGAATACATTACTTTAAAAATACATATTCAGTTTGTGTTCAGCAAAATAGAAAAGACCATCTGTTTTTTTTTTATTTTTACAATAAAATACCTGATAATAATTTGCATCTTCTTGAAGAGTTTATATTAAAACTCTAAAAAATACACTTCTTATTCATTCATGTGGATTTATTTCTTAAATTAGTTTAAAATAAGACAGAAAAACAGAAAAAAGGGGATGATATATGTAATTTTAACAGATTAAATGTGCTCATACATATCCGAGTGTAGCACGTGGTTCTCTGTCACGTCCGCTGCTCACGAAAAATGAAGAAAGAATCATGACATTTTTCAGCGTTATCACGGAGAGCTGCAGCCGCGGGTTCATCTGTGGTGTCAGAGCGCCTCCCGCTGGACACAGGCGGGATTACAACTGTGGAGAGGAGAGGCCTGGACACACACACACAAGCAATTCTATACAAAACACACGCACACACGCAATTCAACACAACACACACACGCAGCAATTCAACACAACACACACACAACACACATACACAATTCAACACAACACACACACGCAATTCAACACAACACACACACACACACGCAATTCAACACAACACACACACACACACACGTACACAATTCAACACAACACACACACAACACACGTACACAATTCAACACGACACACGTGCACAATTCAACACAACACACACACAACACCAACACAACACACACACAAACACAACACAACACACACACACACCAACACAACACACACACACACCAACACACACACATGCATTTCAACACAACACACATTACACAAACAAAGACAATAATAATAATAATGCATTGTTTTAATGAAGTGCTTTTCTGGAAAGTCTCTTCACATCATTATTCTCTCTCCAAACACGGTGGTGATAAACTACTGTAGCCACAGCTGCCCCGGGGCACACTGACAGAAGCGAGGCAACCAGTCTGTGCCATCGGCCCCTCCCACCACCACCAACCATTCACACACATCTGGTGTTTCCAAAGGTCTCAGAGAACAAACTACTCTACCCTGCCCTACCCTACCCTATTCTACTCTACTCTACTCTACTCTACCCTACTCTACTCTATCCTACCATACTCTACTCTATCCTACTCTACTCTACCCTACCCTACCCTACTCTACTCTATCCTACTCTACTCTACCCTACCCTACCCTACCCTACTCTACTCTATCCTACTCTACTCTATCCTACTCTACCCTATCCTACTCTACCCTACCCTACTCTACTCTATCCTACTCTACTCTACCCTACCCTACTCTACTCTATCCTACTCTACCCTACCCTACTCTACTATACCCTACCCTACTCTACCCTACCCTACTCTACTCCATCCTACTCTACTCTACTCTACCCTACCCTACTCTACTCTATCCTACTCTACTCTACCCTACCCTACTCTACTCTATCCTACTCTACTCTACTCTACCCTACTCTACTCTACCCTACCCTACTCTACTCTACCCTACCCTACCCTACTCTACCCTGCTGCAGAGGGACAGTGATGATCCGCTGATGAACCCGTTGGAAATAAAAGCAGAAGTATCCGTAATGACCGGAGCATCCATCATGGCCGCCGCCGCCGCTGTCGTCTGATTTATGTCTCACTTACATCCAGCGCTCAGAGGACAGGAGCCGCTGGACCAAAGTTAGGACACTCCGACTACACACACGCTAATTAAAAACACTACAGGTTTATCAGGCGTAAGAGTGAGACGACAGGAGCAGGGAGAGAGACCCCGGGTCGTAGAGTCTAAAAGTGACGGGTTTTATCATTTGTCAATAGGTATTTTAACCCCGTATGCAACATGGCCGCTCAGAGGAGTAACCGTAGCAACAGGCTTTTATCACTGTTCAACAAAAATATGCACTATTATTAGGTAGTTAGTTAGAAATGTTTATAATTGATGTACTTATGTGTTTATATGGATGTGTTTCAAGGGATCAATAAAGACTTGGACTGCTGCCCCTCCAACCCGGCAACGGATGAAGTGGAAGATAATGGATGGATCAATAAAGTATCTATCTATATGTTCAATGGTTATGGCCAAATGAGTCTGACTTCTTGGTTTAATGGATTAACTGATGTAGAAGAACCGGTGTGGGCGGGTCCCAGTTCAAAACGGTCCATGAGCACGTGCGGTGACATGGAATCTGGCCCGTGGGGGTGTACCCGGAAACAGAATTATCCAATACATTTTTAAACCTCTTGAAAACGGCTTTACAGGATGGTCCAAAAGTGGGGTCCACAGTGAAGACTAGAGTAGAGCAGAGTAGAGCAGAGCAGAGTAGAGTAGAGTAGAGTAGAGTAGAGTAGAGTAGAGTAGAGTAGAGTAGAGTAGAGTAGAGTAGAGTAGAGTAGAGTAGAGTATAGAGTAGAGTAGAGTAGAGAGTAGAGTAGAGAGCAGAGCAGAGCAGAGTAGTGTAGAGCAGAGTAGAGTAGAGTAGAGCAGAGCAGAGTAGAGTAGAGTAGAGTAGAGTAGAGTAGAGCAGTAGAGCAGAGCAGAGCAGAGTAGAATAGAGTAGTGTAGAGCAGAGTAGAGTAGGGTAGAGTAGAGTAGAGTAGAGTAGAGTAGAGTAGAGTAGAGTAGAGCAGAGTAGAGTAGAGTAGAGTAGAGTAGAGTAGAGCAGAGTAGAGTAGAGTAGAGTAGAGTAGAGTAGAGCAGAGCAGAGCAGAGCAGAGCAGAGTAGAGTAGAGTAGTGTAGAGCAGAGTAGAGTAGAGTAGAGTAGAGTAGAGTAGAGTAGAGCAGAGTAGAGTAGAGTAGAGTAGAGTAGAGTAGAGTAGAGTAGTGTAGAGCAGAGTAGAGTAGAGTAGAGTAGAGTAGAGCAGAGCAGAGCAGAGCAGAGTAGAGTAGAGTAGAGTAGAGCAGAGCAGAGCAGAGCAGAGTAGAGTAGAGTAGAGTAGAGTAGAGTAGAGTAGAGTAGAGCAGAGTAGAGTAGAGTAGAGTAGAGTAGTGTAGAGCAGAGTAGAGTAGAGTAGAGTAGTGTAGAGCAGAGTAGAGTAGAGCAGAGCAGAGTAGAGTAGAGTAGAGCAGAGTAGTGTAGAGCAGAGCAGAGCAGAGCAGAGTAGAGTAGAGCAGAGTAGAGTAGAGTATAGTAGAGTAGTGTAGAGCAGAGTAGAGTAGAGTAGAGTAGAGCAGAGTAGTGTAGAGCAGAGCAGAGCAGAGTAGAGTAGAGTAGAGTAGAGTAGTGTAGAGCAGAGCAGAGTAGAGTAGAGTAGAGTAGAGTAGAGCAGAGCAGAGTAGAGCAGAGTAGAGTAGAGTAGGGCAGAGTAAAGTAGAGTAGAGTAGAGTTAAATGGGCTCTACAAATAAAGCCGACACACAGACGTTCCATTCTTCTTCTGAGTATTTTCCGATTGTCCCCTATGGATGATGTCATCAGAAAGCGGCCCCACCCTCGCTGCTTCTCTCTCAGATGATTGACAGATCTCTGGTCCTCAGGCTGCAGGCGAAACCAGGACGTGTCTGAAACCTGACCTCCAGGTGTGTGTAGTGTGACATCACCCTCTGTCATGTGTGAGAACTGGACACCGTTAGAACAAAGAGGAGACACGAGAGGACAGATATGATGGAGCAGATTCTACACTGAGCCTCCTGTGAGGGGGTCGGACTCATTTTGTTGACTTTTCTCATTCCGAATTATTTTGGTGTTTGTTTAAAGAGAATAATATCGAACAACTCTCTTTGTCTGAGCCACTTTTTCAGGTTTTTATAGATTAATTTTCCAGAGTCACAGAGAATCTCAGGCTCAGTACGTCAGAGTTCAGATATGGTTCCGTTCCCTCCACACAGTGATGACGGACGCAAGACCAGAAGACACTGGTCCATCAAAGCCTCCGACCAAACATTCACCTCTACCTATTGTACATGTTTTTAGTGGTAGGGGAAACCGGAGTACCCGGAGGAAACCTACGCACACAGTGAGAACATGCAAACTCCGCTAAGAAAGGCCCTGTTCCGACCGGGATTTGAACCCAGGACCTTCTTGCTGAGTATCGAGAGTGCTAACTACTCAGCCACCGTGCCGCCCGTAAAAGTAAAAGTTGTAGGTCGGACTCTTGGACAGAACAGACCCCCCCCGGTCTCCCGTATAACCGTAAAGCATCAGTGTCCTATCCCAGTGTAACATCTACCTTCCCTCACCCTCACCCCCCCCCTCACTCACCCTCCTCCCCCTCACCCCTCCTCCCCCTCACTCACCCCCCCCCGTCTCCTGTAACCGTAAAGCATCAGGTGTCCTATCCCAGTGTAACATCTACCTTCCCTCACCCTCCTCCCCCCCTCACTCACCCTCACCCTCACCCCTCCTCCCCCCTCACCCCTCCTCACCCTCACCCCTCCTCCCCCTCACTCACCCTCACCCCTCCTCCCCCTCACCCCTCCTCCCCCTCACTCACCCTCACCCCTCCCCCCCCCTCACCCCTCCTCCCCCTCTCACCCCTCCTCCCCCTCACTCACCCCTCCTCACCCTCACCCCTCCTCCCCCCCACCCCCTCCTCCCCCTCACTCACCCTCACCCCTCCTCCCCCTCACTCACCCTCACCCCTCCTCCCCCTCACTCACCCTCACCCCTCCTCCCCCTCACCCCATCCTCCCCCTCACTCACCCTCACCCTCCTCCCCCTCACTCCCCTCACCCCTCACCCTCCTCCCTCACTCACCCTCACCCCTCCTCCCCCTCACCCCTCCTCCCCCTCACTCACCCTCACCCCCTCCTCCCCCTCACTCACCCTCACCCCTCCTCACCCTCACTCACCCTCACCCCTCCTCCCCCTCACTCACCCTCACCCCTCCTCCCCCTCACCCCTCCTCCCCCTCACTCACCCTCACCCCTCCTCCCCCTCACTCACCCTCACTCCCCCTCACCCCTCCTCCCCTCACTCACCCTCACCCCTCCTCCCCCTCACTCACCCTCACCCCTCCTCCCCCTCACTCCCCCTCACCCCTCCTCCCCCTCACTCACCCTCACCCCTCCTCCCCCTCACTCACCCTCACCCCTCCTCCTGTATAACCGTAAAGCACCAGTGTCCAATCCCAGTGTAACACTTGGGCCAGAGCCGTGGGTCTGGACATAAATCGTGGATCCAGGACGCTCCTCTTTGTGATGGAGCCTTTTCAACACAAACACAGTATTTATCCCCGTCCCGCGGGCAGCCTTCATGAACGCTTCGCCGCGACACGGTTTGGGTAATAACGCCGTCCGCTCCTGAAATACAGACATGTCCCAGGATCACTGCAGGAAGTCGCTCGTATTTTAGTGGCAGAAAAAAACAAACGAAATTAGAGCTGAGTGTTTCTCAGAGCGATAACGTAGATCTGAAGTCACGTTTAACTGATGTCAGAATGTACAATGACCACATGTGACCCAGAGCCTCATGCTGCTAACATGCTGCTAGCATGCTGCTAACATGCTGCTAACATGCTGCTAACATGCTGCTAACATGCTGGTAAATGCTGCTAACATGCTGCTAACATGCTGCTAACATGCTGCTAACATGCTGCTAACATGCTGCTAACATGCTGCTAACATGCTGCTAACATGCTGCTAACATGCTGCTAACACGCTGCTAACATGATAGCAGGTGAACAGGGACAAACGGAGCGAAGGTGACAACAGAAACATCGACTCTTTACTGTCCCAGCGTCGTCCTGAAGCACGAGGCCGAGGTCCTGCTGCTGTGGAATGTCTTTGAGCCCAAATGGACCGTTTCTTATCTCAGTGTTTACCGGAGATTCAGACACTTCACTATTTACGTTTGGCAAGTTTGACAGAGTCTGAGTCTGAGGGAGTTTAAAGGTGAAGGACGTGAGGAAAGGTGTGGAGCTGTCGTCGTGTGATGGTCCGGGGTCAGGCCGGGGTCAGGCCGGGGTCAGGCCGGGGTCAGGCCGGGGTCAGGCCGGGGTCAGGCCGGGGTCAGGCCGGAGTCAGGCCGGAGTCAGGCCGGGGCTGGGCACTTATCTCTGATCTTATCTTTCACAGGCTGCTGTTATTTAGTCATTGATTTGTTTGAACAGAGACGCTGCACAGCATGAACATTTGTGTAAAAGTTTGACACTTAAAAAGAATAATAACAATAATAATAATAACAATGCATCGGTTTAATACAGGATTCTTTTCGGACTCAAAGTCTCTTCACGTGTCATTGATCTCTCACTCCGTACACGGTGGTGATAAACTACTACTGTAGCCGCAGCTGCCCTGACAGAAGCGAGCACTGTGGCACCTGGTCTCCCATCACAGAACTTACCAGGCCCGGTCCTGCTTAGCTTCAGAGGTCTGCAGATGTGGTTTATATGAACAGAGACATTGCAAATAACTTACATCTCTGACACTTCTACAGAAATCATTTAGATCTATGTCTGACTAATTTTAGGCCTGGTCCAGACCTGGTTCAGACCTGGTCTAGACCTGGTCTCATAAAGGTGTTATCACAGCCTCTCTTCAGGCCTCGGTCTCTGGCTCCAAACGGCTCCTGCTGCTGAGGGACTGATGTCAGGAAGGATCAGTGTTTGTCCTCGTTTCACAGTCTGACAGTGAAAGAGCTGCAGAAAAGTCTGTTTGTTTTTGTCTCCTTGTTTTGAACTCATACTGTGACCGGGGCGGGACGTGTACTGCACAAAGGCACATCAGAAAGATAAACAGACAGATAAATACACTGACAGACAGACGCTGCTTCCTGTCCTCTGATAGATGCAGAAGGATCATGTCTCAGACCAAGGATTTGAGTTTGAAAACCTTGGATTTCAGCCGTGTCCAGACAAAGGTAAAGACGGAACCAGCTCTGATGTATCTGTCAACACAAAGTTCACCTGAGAGCAGTGTAATACATGCACTGGGCCTGAAGGGGCGCTGTGAGGATGCTACAGGAAACTCCAGATCAGACAAAGAAGAACACCCACCCACACACACACAGACACACACACCCAGACACAGACACACACACTGAGACACACAAACACACACTGTGTATGACCTGTTCTGAAAGGACACATGGATAATGAGGCCAAAGAGACTGAGGCACACCAATATAGACACATTTCTTGATATTATGCTCTATAAACTAAATATATTAATGTTTCTAAGGTAAGTGGACCCCCTCACAGAACGCTCAGTGTAGAATCTGCTCCATCATATCTGTCCTCTCGTGTCTCCTCTTTGTTCTAACGGTGTCCAGTTCTCACACATGACAGAGGGTGATGTCACACTACACACACCTGGAGGTCAAGGTGTGTCACTGGTCCATGGTGTGTCCAGGTGTGTCACTGGTCCATGGTGTGTCCAGGTGTATCACTGGTCCATGACATGTCACTGGTCCATGGCGTGTCTAGGCCAGTGGGGGCGGGTCCCGGCTCAGACGTGGCCAAAAGGACGTGCGCTGACATGCTGCAATACCACCCCGGGCCTGTGGGGGTGGACCCGGAATGAGAATTAGCCAATGCTAACATATAGCATCTTCTTACCTCTGGAAAACGTCTTTACAGGATGGTTTAAAGTTGGCTCTTGGCCCAAAGCTCCGTTCCACATGTGTGTCAATGCTGAGGGGGGTGTTTTGGACCACTCTAGTTTATGGCGTGTCCAGATGTGACACCGGTCCATGGCGTGTCCAGTAGGGATGTACCGATCCGATATTCAGTATCGGTATTGGGGGCCGATATGGGTATTTTGTAAGGATCGGATAATATCGGATTTGTTAAATATGAAGCCGATTTACTTCACTTTTCAGCAGTTCACGCTTTACGGCTGCCGTAAACTAAATACAATGTAAAACTAGGGCTGGGCGATAAAACGATATATTGTGATAGACGCGTGTTCGATATCAATAGAAAACGGGGTCGATAGAATGTTAGTTTGACATCACTCCGTTAGAAAAAACAGGACGAAAACACAGGAAGTAAAGCCGAGTCAGAGGCGCGTGGCATTCTGGGGGATGTAGGCAGAGGCTTCTCGACCTATCACAGCCAAGTGTGAACCGCAACATTTTCTGGGAAATGCAAAAACAACAACCGCACAATGCGTAGCGTACAAGGATCTAAAGATTGTTTTTCAGTGCCGTGTCAATGGTTCTGCACGTCCGTGCGAGGCTTAGCATGTGCGCTGTGGCAGAGGCAGTGGACACAGAGACCTGGGGCATGCGGCAAAAGCAAGTGATGAACTTTTTCCTCCGTGCGGCTATCAGAGAGCTATCAGAGAGCTATCAGAGAGTTCTCAGAGAGCGACCGCACAGAGCCGTCACGGGGACACAAAACAGGAGATAAACCAGAACTAAACCAGGATTTCACCAGGACTAACTATGGGGGAGACTGCTTGTAAAACATATTCCTCGAGCCTCATTCCCCGTGACTGTAAACAAGGGCTGCTAACGTGTGTAGCCGACACAACAAACCTATTTATTCAGGTAAAATTGCAAAATCTTTAATGCTTTGAAAATATTAGAAAAAATTTTATTGGATGGGTATCGGCAAAACAATATTTATGAATATCGGGATCGGATTGGATTACAAAACATCTGGATCGGTACATCCCTAGTGTCCAAGTGTGTCACTGGTCCACGGCATGTCCAGGCCTGTCACTGGTCCATGGCGTGTCCAGGTGTGTCACTGGTCCATGGTGTGTCCAGGTGTGTCACTGGTCCATGGTGTGTCCAGGCGTGTCACTGGTCCATGGTGTGTCCAGGCGTGTCACTGGTCCATGGTGTGTCCAGGTGTGTCACTGGTCCATGGTGTGTCCAGGCGTGTCACTGGTCCATGGTGTGTCCAGGTGTGACACTGGTCCATGCCGTGTCCAGGTGTGTCACTGGTCCATGGTGTGTCCAGGTGTTTCATGGTCCATGGTGTGTCCAGGTGTGTCACTGGTCCATGGTGTGTCCAGGTGTGTCACTGGTCCATGCGTGTCCAGGCGTGTCACTGGTCCATGGCGTGTCCAGGTGTGTCACTGGTCCATGGTGTGTCCAGGCGTGTCACTGGTCCATGGTGTGTCCAGGCGTGTCACTGGTCCATGGTGTGTCCAGGTGTGTCACTGGTCCACGGCGTGTCCAGGCGTGTCACTGGTCCACGGCGTGTCCAGGTGTATCACTGGTCCACGGCGTGTCCAGGTGTGTCACTGGTCCATGGTGTGTCCAGGCGTGTCACTGGTCCATGGTGTGTCCAGGCGTGTCACTGGTCCATGGTGTGTCCAGGTGTGTCACTGGTCCACGGCGTGTCCAGGCGTGTCACTGGTCCATGCCGTGTCCAGGCGTGTCACTGGTCCATGCCGTGTCCAGGCGTGTCACTGGTCCATGGCGTGTCCAGGTGTGTCACTGGTCCATGGTGTGTCCAGGCGTGTCACTGGTCCATGGCGTGTCCAGGTGTGTCACTGGTCCATGGTGTGTCCAGGTGTGTCACTGGTCCATGGCGTGTCCATGGTGTGTCACTTGCCACCGCCTGGGGCCGATGGGGGTGGACCATAGATGTATATATTAACGGACAGAGTCACGCCTATCTCCGCCGTTCTAACTAATAGGCTACTGGAGCTATCCAAAATGGCCGCGAGTGGTCCCACCCACAAGAAAATTGTGAAAAACCTCAGCCGGCGCAGCTCCATTCATTTGAACGAGAGACTTCAAAAATTCACAAGTAAACTAGAGTGGACCAAAACACCCCCCTCAGCATTGACACACATGTGGAACGGAGCTTTGGGCCAAGAGCCAACTTTTGGTCCATCCTGTAAAGACGTTTTTGAGAGGTCTGCTAATGCTATATGTTAGCATTGGCTAATTATTCTTCTGGGTCCACCCCCATCGGCCCGGGGTGGTATTGCAAGCATGTCAGCGCACGTCATTTTGGCCACTTTTCAGCTGGGACCCTCCCCCACTGGGGTGGACCCGGAATAAGAATTAGCCAATGCTAACATATAGCATCTTCTTACCTCTCGAAAACACAGGATGGTCCAAAAGTTGTCTCTTGGCCCAAAGCTCCGTTCCACATGTGTGTCAATGCTGAGGGAAACTCTAGTTTACTCGCTGTGAAATTTTTTTTTTTTTTTCAACTTTATTTATAATTTTGGGCACATAATAAACAGTAGTGTAATGTACACTATAAAGAGCAATGCCAATACAAAAACGAAAAGAAATAAAAATAAAATAAAATACATTCATAAGCAATTGTAAAAATTAGAATGAATTCCAAAAACAAAAACAGACAGACACGTGTTCAGAAATATCCACATTCAGCACATCAGTGGCAGCCTAGAGTATAAAGGAAAATAAGAAATCAGTCTGGCACAAAACGAAAATCTAAAACTTTCAGCAAAGAAAACAATGGGCTCCAAATTTCAGAAAACTTATCGATAGAATCTCTTACAATGAAACGGATCTTTTCCAATTTGACGAAATACAATAAGTCTCTAATCCAGTGAATATGAGATGGTGATGTTGGGCTTTTCCACTTGAGCAATATTAATTTACGAGCAAGAAGACTCATAAAAGCTATTGATGATTTTTGATTAGCTGTCAAAGAGCCGGGGTAGTGTAACACCAAACAGAGCAGTGAATGGGTTTGGGTCAATCTTTTTACCCACAACCCCCGACATTATTGTGAACACCTCAGTCCAGTAATTCAACAACTGTGGACAGAGCCAGAAGGCATGTATTAGATTAGATGATGGATGTTGACATCGGTCACATGACGGTGAGATATTTGGATATATTTTGGCTAGGCGAGATTTGGTATAATAAATACGGTGCAAAAGTTTACATTGAATGAGGCTATGCCTCACACAGATGGAAGATTTGTGGACAAGTGACAAAATTTGAGACCAAAGGTCATCTGATATAATTTTGCCCAAATCCTCTTGCCAAAGGTTTCTTATATTGTCTGTGCTCTGTGAGTGCACAGAAGCAATTTGATTATAAGTTATAGAAATCACCCCCTTAAGAGTAGGAATAGGTAACAAAAAAATGTCATGGTGTGATTCTTGCGGAGCATTAG